TCATTTGAGAAGCTATCAAATAATAAATCGCTTCTCTGTTTTGGACATGCCTTTTTATCTCATAACTAAAAACCTTTTTTTTTCTTTTTTCAATCAAATACCATTTTTTCCCTCTTGAACTGGTAAGTTATCATAAATTCTTTCAAGTATTTCTATTGACGTGTGTCAAGAACACTGATTGCAATTATATTTTTGGTCTATTGTTGTTTATCAAGATTTTTGAATGAAAAAATAGTACTCTAAATCACAATTATTAAAACTTTTTAATCCTTTTTAATAAAAAAAATGATATATTTTGTCGAAATAAAATTTTTATAATATTTTATTAATATAATGTTCAATTTTACTTGCACATTCAAATATTGAAAACAAACAATATTATTATTATATGTTCAGATTTAGACATCATATCTTAATATTTAGATGTGTATTCAAATTCAGACATTTTAATCTTAATAAAAACAAATGAGGTCTTATACTACCGGCTAGTATCATAATATTCGATTGTATATAAGAGTTTTACAAAAAAAAAAGAAAGAAAAAAAACTATAATCATATATATAGCTTCATTTTTCTTTGCTATTATTAAATAAAGAAGGAAGAGAGAACACTCCTTTTGATAATCACTCAATTTTAGTTTATTTTATTATATTAGAATATAATAAAGATCACTTTTACTTTGCCTATGCAAAAAATATATAAAGTTCATTATGAGAAAACAAAGGAGTCATTACTTCCATCGAAGTTAATCGACTTTTCGGATGTAACTAAAATTGTTTTAAGTGTTTAAATTTTCTTTGAGATTTTGATAAAATTAAGTGAATTTCTTAACTACAACAAATAGTGTTAATGAATATATATATATTGGTGCAATATACTATAAATATAATAAATTACAGTTTGTAAATAAAATGAATAAAAAAAATATTTAAATATGTGGCATAATGTACACCAACTCTTGATTTGTTTCCTCTAGGATACAAAGTTCAATAATGTTGCATAACTCAAACAACTCTGAATTAGTTGAAGAGTCTAAAACTTCACAAAAAGAACACATTCCTTCAACAAACAAATTTTGTCTTTTGTATAGTGAATATAGTATATTTTCCATTGTCTCAACTCTCTCTTTCACAGTACTAACCTCAATATAAATTTCTCATCTTTTTTTATATTATTTCTCTTCTTCTCAATACAAAGTAAGACCACGCTATTTATAGGTGAGGAATTATGGATGGAATTAGTTGTAGATCATGACAATAGAGGTTATAAGAGTTGCACGAAAATAAAAGGTAGAATTACGGATGGAATTAGTTGTAGATCATGACAATAGAGGTTATAAGAGTTGCACGAAAATAATGACCATATTCTTATAAACTTATACACACTTATATGTGCACTAAATTTTTTAGTTTTAATGTTAAAATGCATAAACACCAACAATACATGATATCTAAATAAAGTTTGAATGTTATAAAAATAATAATTAATAACTTGAATTAAATTAAATAAAATAAAAGTTGACGGGTCGTGAATGAAGTTATTCTCTGTGAAATTTTTGCATATATCTACTCAAATATAACTTAATTATGCTCCATAGTTGTAGCTTGTTAATTATGATTCGTAGCTTCAAGTTAGAGGAAGAATAGAGGCGAGAGAGAGAGGGGGCAGAGTGTAGAGAATGGAGAGAGGTAACTTATACTTGTATATCTGTTAAATACTTGTATATATGCAATTGATATACAAGGTATTTGTATATCTGACGAGCAAGATTGGAAGCTAGAGAAGATAAGCGAGTGAGATTGGGAGGGCAGGGTGAGAGCGAGCAAGAGAGGGTGGAGAGTGAAGAGAGGCGAATTACATATGTATATTTGTAGATAATTTTATATATATAATTAATATTCATATGTATTTGTATATAATGCGAGCGACATTGGTAGAGGAGGAGAGAAGTGAGCGAGTTTGGAAGAGAGTACAGAGAGACGAGTGAGAAAGGACAGAGAGTGAAGAGAAGCTAAATGTATTTGTATTTATGTCATATATTTATATATATATAAGTGTGTATAATTTGTATTTATATATGTATAAAAGAAGACAGACGACATAATTATAGCTAAAATTAAGTGGAAGCCTCCATTAATTCAAACTATAATTATATTAGCTAATTAACTAGTATATATTTGCTTTTCTGCGTAATTTTCTTTTCTTTATTTTATTTTAGATAATAAAAGAGAGTAATTAAGATGATACAATTATACATTAATATTAAGGTCAATCATCCGTACTATACTCTATGATACGAATCATGATACTATATATATTTATACATATTCTAATTCGATGGACTATGATATGTCAATGATTATATTAATGAATAATCGTTTTAAATCTACTGATACAGACTTCCACTTAATGTGTTCACCTAAAACGAATGTTCTGATATAACGTATTTAAGAACTTCACATTTTAAAAGATTATTGAAAAGGATTTCCTTGTACTTTCAACTTAAATTTTGAAAATCATTAAAGCAAGTCCTTAAAAGCAGAAAGCATTTTCTTTGTTTATTCAAACATTATGAAGTCTGAACTAATTAAACTAATTTTTCGAAATTGGACAGGTAAAAAGAGAAAATTCATGTTTAAAGTTGTTTTGACTTAAAAATATTTGACATAAGCAATCAAAATAAATTGACTGCTCTTTTTGTTATATATACTTGACATAGAAATAAAGATACTGATTTTGTATTTAACGTTAATGTTTAAATTAAAGTATTTTATTTTATCAAGAAGAAGAAGTGGGTTACATATGAAGTGTAGTTGAATATGTAAATTTAAATAATTTGTGTCAGTAATGATACAATATATAAATTTATTGTTTAACTTAGGTTCAACGGATATTTATATCCTCTTAACTTTAGGTGTTTATCTATAAGTATATAAATTTTTTAAAAATTAAACAAATAGATATATGTATTTTATATCACATAATACAAATAAAATATTATATTAATCATAAATTATAATATAACGTATTAATTAATACTAAATTAAAAGACATATTTATATCGTCTGCCTAACGTTTTTGACAACCCACTAAAACACAACTACAACTTTATGTCTTCATCACTGAGATATTTTATTTTGGATAAATAAACATTTCAAACTCATGGGGGGCAGAAGATTCTTCTTTAATATGGCTGCCTAACCTTAACATGGAAGGCCAGCCCAAAAGTTCTCACTATTTTGTATGCATTAACTAATTAATGTTTGAGTTTGTGTTACATACATACTATTTTGGATACATATCAGGTGTACAAAAATCTAGTTAAAGAGTTCATGTATATAAGATAAGATTACCTGTATTTATCAGAAAGAATTTTGAATTTTTTATTCTTCCTTTAAAAACTGATAAGACAAATACTTTATGGTCATGATTTGATAATAAAATTTGTGTGTTTCAGTTGCATTTTATATTTAGATTAACACAATCGTATATGTATATACTTACTAAGAGACATGCTTTCGAACATAATGTATGAAATTGATATTTGATACATCAAATGGATACTAGATACATGAAATTATAACTACATTATAAAAATAGATAAATGAATTAATACTTGACTCATATAACAAATATATAAAATTAATACTAGATACTTCTATAATACATATGAATGTATTTGTATAATACTTATGTTTTTAAGTATTTAGTTTGTTGGATAAATCATATATTAATAATAGATACATCAAATAAATAAATTTTTATTTTAAGAGTAATAAATGAAATTAATCAAATTACATGACTAAGATATACATGCTTTTGTTTATTACTAATAATAAATGAATTTATTATTTCAAAGGATAATCTTTTGAAACTATAAATTGAAATTAATTAAATATACATACGCTTGATTTCCGCCTTATAACAATGAATTTAATTATTTAAATTTTCAGAGTTAATTATTCATGTATTATAAAAATTCTTAATTAATTAGAGTTACTTCTCTAATTAAGAAATCGGTTACAACCTATTAATTCAAACAAAATAAAATATGTATCTTAATTTAAAGGCTTAAATTATAGACGGTCCTTAAAATTATTCGTATAATTCACTTAAACATTTTAACTAGGACTTATACCTATTGAACACCAAAACTATTCTGCATTTGAACCATTTAAACACGTTTTGCACATGTAGCAAAAAAATGTGATTCACGCCTTATTGCGTGAATCATTTAACCAACACATGTTCAAACTTTTTTTCTCATAAAATAACAATCTTTTCAAATCTTCCTTTTCAAAATTGCACCACCCCTGCTGCTCCTGTTTCTTCATAACAATCCACCATTAGCATCTTTTACAAATTTACTTCTTCTAGGTTTATACTTAAATTTGTTAAGAATTCCAAGGCAATAAGAAATCCAAACATCACTTTATTACTAACATTCCAAGCCTTAATATGTGTTTTATCATATTTTTATTTTATTATTAGTAATTTTCAATTGGAGCAAAAGAACCCCAGCGTTATCATACACAAGAATACCTCTTCATTTTTTTTTCTTCTGGTCATTGTTCTAATTTTTCAGATTTAGAATTACATCTTAACATCTTTTTTGTCGGAAAAAATGGATACCATCATCCATACTTTTTTCTGAAAAAAACGAAGGCTACCATCCACGTCTCCTTACCAGAAAAAATGGAGACCGCATACACCACCCTTCTTCTTCCACAACAAAGTGGAAACAAAATTCAAAATCAAAATTAATAAGGAAGAACATATTTTTTGTAAAAAATTAACAACATCAATTTCAAATAGGAACAAAAAGACGGATAAAGAGAAACAAAAATGAAAAATTCATAGTTAGTATATGTTATAATATTCATCTTTTTTTTTAGATGAACAACAACAATAGTGGACAAGGAATATCCGTGAGGGAAAGAGAAGAAGGGGGAGGTTTGGGGTGGGTGGGGTGAAATGGATTTTTCATCTCTTTTTTTTCGATTGAAACTCTTTTATTTTTTTTAGATTTAGATTTTTTTATATTTTAATTTTATTTATTTAAGATAATTAAATTAAAATGTCACATGTCCTATAGTGGGTTGAATTGATTTGCAATTTCCAATTTACAGTTGGTTGATTTTATTTGAAAGCGACTGGATTTGTTATTAGATTAGATTAATTAAAAGATTGAGTACTAGATAAGCATCACTCGTTTATTAATTGGATCTAAATTTGAAATTGTTAAAAAATAAGGGTAATAAGAACTAAAAGTAGACGTTAGAGATATTTGGGATCAAATAGATTAAAGAAAGATAGTAACATACCATAGTATAAGGTATTTTAAGTCTTTTTTTCATTTTCAAATATCATAAATTTTTTAAAAATTCTTTTTTATATTTATTGCGGAATCAAACTAAGAGGAAAATTTTAATTTAGGGTGTCAAAAGAGAGTGTGTGAACCTGGATAATCCAACGGCCCTGTTTTCAATTGTGTAATCATATCAGTTATGGAGGGAACAAGCTCATAACTCGGTGTGAATTAAGCTTGATCAAATATTGATGGCGAATTTCAGCTTTGTAAGATATTGCTTAATTGGTAATAATCTTGTGTTTCTAATAAAATCTGTTCAATTTCTTTCATAATTATCAATCAACTCGAGTTTATTGATGTTTGTTCTTATGCAACCAATCGAAGCGATATGTATAGATCCTTCCCATTACTTGGCGAACCTCCTTTCAAAATGCATTCGAACTAATGATCTCAATCTTGGGAGACTCATCCATTCACGGCTGATAAAGACAGCTTTAAACTTTAACACATTCCTCGCCAATAGATTGATTGACATGTATGCTAAATGTAGCTCTGTAGAATATGCGCAACAGGCATTTAATGAAGTATCAAACAAGAATGCTCAATCTTGGAACATAATACTCTCAGCTTATTGTAAAAAGGGTCTTTTTAGAGAAACCTTCCAGGTGCTCGATGTAATGCCTGAACCAAATGTTGTGAGCTATAACTCGATTATATCTAGCTTAACTCATCATGGGTTTCCAGGAAAAGCTATGGGCTTTTTCAAAAGAACGCGAATACGATGTAGAGATGAGTTCTTGATTGACGAGTTTACAGTTGTTGGTGTGGTAAATGCTTGCGCGTGTTTGGGTGTGTTGAGGTTGTTGCGTGAATTGCATGGGTTTGCAACTGTGATTGGTGTGAAGTTTAATCTTGTGGTTTGCAATGCATTGATTGATGCTTATGGGAAATGTGGCAAGCCTGAGCACTCGTATTCTGTTTTCTGTCAAATGCACGATACTGATGTATTCTCCTGGACTTCGATGTTGGTTGCTTATATACGTGCATCTAGATTGGAAGATGCATGTTCACTTTTTGATAGCATGCCGGTCAGAAATGTGGTGGCTTGGACTGCTTTGATCATGGGGTTTGCTCAGAATGGAGAAGGAGAGAAGGCTTTGTGTATTTTTAAGGAGATGCTGGAAGAAGGTATTGTGCCCAGTGCATCCACTTATGTTAGTGTTCTAAGTGCTTGTGCAGACATACCTATTATAGAAAAAGGGAAGCAGGTTCATGGACACATTTTTAGATATACGTGTTTAATTGATTTGCATAATGTGTTTGTAGTTAATGCTTTGATTGACATGTATTGTAAATGTGGAGACATGATATCTTCTATGACATTGTTTGGGAGGTTAGATGGGAAGGATCGAGTTTCTTGGAACTCAATAATAATTGGGTTTGCTCAAAATGGGAATGGAGAGATGTCATTGTTGATGTTTGACAAAATGATTGAAGCAGGTATAAAACCAAATCATGTAACTTTTCTTGGGGTTTTATCTGCCTGTAGCCACTGTGGTTTACTATCTGAAGGATTCCACTATCTTCATTCAATGGAGAGGGAATACGGTACAGTGCCCCAATTAGATCACTATGGGATCTTGATTGATTTACTTGGACGGAAGAATAGACTTTGGGAAGCTGCGGAATTAATCAAGGGAGCTCCTTGGGGAACAAACAATATTGGAATGTGGGGCGCGCTTCTGGGTGCTTGCAGGGTACATGGGAACTTAAAACTTGCTAGAAGGGCAGCAGAAGCTCTATTTGAGCTGGAACCTGATAATGCTGCCAGGTATATTATGTTATCCAACATCTATGCAGCAGCAGGAAGGTGGGATGATGCCCGTAGTTTGCGAAGGTACATGGATAATAGAGGATTGGTGAAAGATGCAGCTTACAGTTGGATTGAGATAAAAAACATCAGACATAAGTTTGTCGCCAAGGACCAGTCCCACAGTCGGTCAGAAGAAATAAAAGAATTGCTAACTAAACTCATCGATCCAATGAAGGATGTTGGATACGTATTTCAAACTGAAAGCTCATACTTTCTTGAAGATGATGCATTTTCTTGATATGATTGAAAGAGGTTGTAACCATGTGTACAGAGCTTTCTACTTTTAATGACTAACTATGAGCTTCGGTGCAAACCTGTCCTGCTGAAATTTTGGGAAAGAAAAAAGTGAGGCAGAATTTTTGTCTTTCCAGATATCATCACTTATCTTAAAGGTAAGAAACATGACCATCAGATGCTAGGCACTATAATACAGTCCTTGCTGCTTGAAGTTTCAGAGATGTTGATGTTATGAGCAGCAGATATATCCATCATTAATGTGCCGGTAACCATCCACCTATTTGGTGTACAGGTAACGTTTCTGCTCATTGATTTAATGTTTTTCATTTTTGTGATAAAGCTGTGATTGTTCTTTCACATTGACCTGTTAGCTATCACAACCATTCAGTTTTTTATGAACCACTGGCTTCAGGTTGTTTGTTTGAAGATCCCATTTCCAGCGTCCAAATGTTTCACTAGGGTGAAGTGGTATTGATGACATGCCTATTACTTCTCCTAAATCACGAGATAGTTAAGTTTCTTAATGTTGTTATTCCCTAAATATGACAATTCCTATAGGTACCACGATTTACTAATTTTGTCTCTGCTGTTGCTATTGATCGCAGGTTATATCTGCATTCTTTGACTTAAGCACAAAACCAGTCTGCTCATAGTTCACTACAGCAGTATGAAGAAGCTGGGATAGGCTCACGGCCAAATATAAAGTCAACAGCTCTGAGGTATACTGCTATCTCTGTTTGAATTTTTACTACGACAGTTTCTAAAACTCTGGTTGATGTACCACTTGTAGTTCAGCTCTACTAATCCTGATCCATCTTGCCTCAAGCCTTTGCATTTAGTTTTGACAGGGAATATCTATTGTGTTGGTTCACTCGCCTTTATAACACTTCTAGTGACTTACTTTTGAAACATTAAATTGACAAGCACTCTTTAATAATCATTCTTCAAATGTGATACATAATGGGCTGATCAATTCTCTTTACGCGAGACGAATTTGGTTCTTAGAGATTTGATACGAGGATTCTGTAATAGATAAGGGACAATTTGTTGAAGCTTAATGTGCATAATGAAAGAGAGCCCCGGAGCAATGTAATTTGCAGAGAGTACACACAAATGGCTAGAATTGGAGAGCAAACAGTTGTGAGAACAGACTTATGGGTGAAATAACGAGCTAAGAAAAGTTTGGGATAATGGAGTTGTTTTTTAAAAGTTATTTTTCCGGTTGATTGGATTTAATTTTAGTTTTTAACATATGTCATGATGACATATTCTTTGATGGCATGATTGGTGCCTTGATATCCTTTGGAAAAATATAAAATCTCCAATTCAATATGAAAATTTGAAAAGAACAACAATAGTATAAATGAAGGCAGAAAGCAGCCATGATTTTTTTTTAATTTGGACTTGGACAAACAAAGTGGCGGGTGATAGACAACCTCTAGATTAGTCAAATGCGGTTCTCTATATTTGAAATTTTTAGTATCACTTATTAAAAATTAAAATTATCTTTATTTGTTACTAAATACTCCATTACAACACTTTTCTGATAAAGACTCGTTATCATGGTTTGTTTAAAATATTAAAATCTCTTTTTTAATTAACTTTATGTCAAATCGACAGCTAAACCAAAATTATGTTAATGATTATTAGAAGACAAAATGAAAAGAATCAATTTTTTTTTTTAAATTGTTATAATAAATTAAAATTAGATGAATAAATTAAAACGGAGTTTGAAATATATCTGTACAGGCACAAAAAAGGTGTTAATTAAGATGATAGGAAATAAGGTTCGTCATCGCGTCCGTCAGGTCCGGCTTTCCAAATTTCAGTATATATATTTGTGCTGAAAAGAAACAACAAGATTGAAAAAAAAAAAGAGAAGGAAAAAAATATATTCAGGGGAATGCAAGCAGCGGCGATGGCGGCTCAACCAGTAATCAAGGTAGCTGGGCTTTGCGGTTCCCTCCGTAAAGGTTCCTACAATCGTGGTCTCCTCAATGCCGGTAAACTTTATTTTTTTCTGTTTATTTAAAAAAAGAATTGTTTCAGTATATGCATTTGGTGCTTCCGTGCTTGTAATTGCAACTCATGTTGTGTGATTGTTGGGCTTAGCGATGGAGATATGCAAGGATTCTATAACGGGAATGGAGATCGAGTACGTCGATATATCGCCGTTGCCGTTTCTGAACACGGATCTTGAGGTGGACGGGACTTATCCCCCGGTTGTCGAGGCTTTTCGTAAGAAAATTGAAGAAGCTGATTGTTTCCTTTTTGCTTCTCCAGAGTACAATTACTCCATCACAGGTGTCCAACTCTTTTTTTTTTTTTACCTTTTTTTCATATTTCTCTAATTGATGCTCCTTAGCTACCTTGAAGTTAATTAGACTTAAAATGATTGTTGATTTTGGAGATCTTACTGTTGCTAGTCTAAATTTAGGTAAAAATTAGAATAGTTTGAAAGGTTTCTCGAATCAAGAGTAGCTTGGTTCTGGAGAAGGAGGGTAAGAATATGTCAACTATGAATTGCCATTTCCGATTAATGCTTTAATTGGTCTGAGATTTGATTACTCTAGTGCTATTTCGACTTCTATGCACTGAGAATCTGAATACTTGTTATCATGCATGATTATCTATGGTGAGCCACAGAGCTTGTTTTATCGAAAAAGGAACAAAAGAAATTCAGGCCCATGGTCACTATTGCTAATTCAAAAACACATACTTTTTTGGTGCAACTTTAGCTTTTATTTGATGGAGGTTGAACCAGGGATATGTTTCAAATGAAAATGGTTCTTTTGCAAAAAATGATAGCATACATAAGCTGTAGTTGAAACTGTTATTGCTAAAGAAAAAGTTCCGCGTTAGCACAAAATGATGATATGAAAATATATTTATCATCCGTGATATTTATCTCATTTCAGGCTATATGTAACATGAGCTTCTTTAGAAGATCAATGAGAGCAAAATTAAGAACTTGGTAGGATGCCCTTTATATATATTTTTAGAAAAAGAACTTGATAGGGATACCTAAATGTATTTGGCTGTAAACCATGAATAAATGAATGTGGTAACTAGCTCCGTAGACAGCTGAAATACTCCCAGAGACTCTTCAAGTCAAGGTGCGGGAGAGATGTCTTCTCAGCTTGTCTTTCAGGTTGATATGATGAATAGTTAATAAATCTTCTCTTATGGGTTAAATTGGTTCAATTGATTGTACGAGCACTACAATGGGTGTGACCACTAGAGTTGAGGTAATCAAAGTCTACATCTTAATACAAACAGATAAATTGGTCCCCTAGTTTAAATCCAAACAATTATAATATGAAAGTATGGTAAATTAGGCTCTGTATATGCAGGTAGTTTTAGGTTGCTAGACTAGTGTTGATGGATTTTTACTTCTTCTGATGACACTCTTGGTACTTATGACTATCATTTTGGTGCTCCTTGGGTAGGACCGTTGAAGAATGCAATTGATTGGGCCTCTCGACCTCCAAATGTTTGGGCTGATAAAGCAGCAGCAATGGTGAGTGCTGGAGGTGGCTTTGGTGGAGGACGATCACAATATCACCTCCGACAGATAGGAGTCTTCCTTGATCTTCATTTCATTAACAAACCTGAATTTTTCCTGAACGCGTTCCAGCAACCACCAAAGTTTGACAGTGATGGTGTGCTGACAGATGAAGAAACCAAGCAGAGACTCAGAGCAGTTCTTTTGGCTTTACAAGCACTTTCCTTGAAACTCAAAGGCAAGTGTGAATAGTTTCTACCAGTAAATGTGGTCCATTTCTTCCTCCAATGTTGCGTGAAAATGCTTGAGCGACCGTCGGGAAAGATTTTTAGCGGGGTTGGTAAAGAATTGACATTTCCAGCTCACATGGGAATAAATATCTACTTATCCAGTATTGAAAATTTCATGGTAATTGATGTAATGGCTCCTACATTTTTTCTCTGTCTTTCGTTTTCTGTTCTATCAGCAACACGTTTGTTTTACAAAATATCATCAATACATTTACTTCGAATAGACTATTGTGGTCCGACATGTGTTCATACCAAAGTTTAGCTCACCGCTTGAAGAAAAATCACCAATGACCACTTTTACAACTACTGTTTTTTGGAAAGTAAGTCACAGTTTGTGCATTTTTTTTTAATGTTAAGGATATAGTTTGAAATAATTCTCAACTTTAATTTTGAATTCCTTAAATAAAATAACAATTATTTTGAGACAAATTTTTTAAGTTTTAAAATTACAGTTAGGATGGAATGAAAAGAGTAACTTTTGGTATTAATAAACATGAGATGACTTGCAAGGCACGTGGCGCTTTGCAATGAATACGACTCTATACGAGTACTCCTTTTATTACTTCAATCAATCATATGCTGACTTTTAAGAACTTTATTTTTAGCTTAATACGTTAATAGCTTCTTAAATTTTTGAGTAAATTTTATTTAGATATTTAAATTAGTATATTATTTTAATTAATCGCCTAAATAAATAACTAGGTGTTCTCATATGAACTTTCCGTTCAAATTCTAGAGAAAAAAATTTCAGTGTGTATTTCAAGAGGTATTATGTAGATAAGTTAATCACTTAAAAATTCATCTCTTTTAATTATACACATTAGCCTTAATAAATTGTAAAATGGCATGTTTCATATGATTAACTTATCAACTTATTAATGAATTTTTGAAAATACTTCAGAACTTGTTTCTTCAAAATTTAAATAAAAAATATATAACAAAAATATTGTTATCATGCATTCACGCAATTATGTGTTTTGATCCTTTATTTATACTGCTACACATAAAAAGTCCTCCATGTTTAAAAAAGCGGACACTTCAGTCCTAATTAAGCTAAACATATATTATACTGTACTTTTTGTATGATAGAAGAGACAAAGAGTGGAAAAACAGTCAACATCCACTAAGCTTCATAGAATCATATCTTACGTAAAAGATTTCATGATTTAAAAACAAAAATATAGAATAATAAACGCAGCAGCCAATGTTGAACAACAATCGAAATAATAATAACTACGCTTTAATTTCAAACAGAGTTGAAAATTATTGAAGGGATACAATTAGAAGCTATTCATACTTGACTTTTGAGTCTCAAGGCAAATGCCTGTAAAGCTAAAAGGACTGATCTGAGTTTGTGCTTGGTTTCTTCATGTATCAGCACACCGTTGCTGTCAAACTTTGGTGGTGATTCAAATGCAAACACGAAAAGTTCAGGCTTGTTAATGAAATGAAGATCAATGTAGATTCCAATTTGTCGAAGATGATAGTGTGCTCGTCCTCCACCAAAGTTACCTCCAGCACTCACAATTGCTGCTGATTTATCAGCCCAAACATTAGGAGGTCGAGATGCCCAATCAATTGCATTTTTCAATGGTGCTGGAAAAAAAAAACAGAGTAAAGAGTTAACTGTGTTTGAATTTGTATTCATAAATTCAAAATTTTAGCTCGGACTCTGCGTACCTGTAACGGAGTAATTGTATTCGGGAGAAGCAAAGAGGAAACAATCAGCTTCTTCAATTTTTTTACGAAAAACCTCTACTTCGCCTGGATAAGTTCCGTTCACCTCAAGGTCCTCGTTTGTAAACGGCAACAACGATAGATCGACGTACTCAATCTCCATTCCCTTTATAGAATCCTTGCATATCTCCATTGCTACGCGCAATTACAGATCATCAATCACACAACATGATTTAAAGGTTTTATTTCTTAATTGTTGTGTTTAAAATTCGAGCCTTAGCTATAAAAAAATATCCTGATTTCCGTGCTATCCCTAAATGAAGCTCTATTCGGCGTGAATCTGAATTAATTGAACTCCCATACGGATACTAAACACCGGATAGAAAACAGAAAAAAGCAAAACAGAGAAACAGAGGAGGAAAGAAAAAGGTGTACCGGCATTGAGGAGACCGCGATTATAGGAGGCTTCACGGAGGGAACCGCAGAGTGCTACTACCTTGATTACTGCTTCAGCCGCCATCACCACTTTGGTTATTTTCTTAAAAAAAAAAAAATTATTCTTCTTCTTCTACTTCTGTGGTAGTATAAGTAATTAGTTTTTAGCATCACAAATTTATATACACGAATTAGGAAGATCTGACGGATGCCATGACGAACAGTGAAGATTTTTCCTGTCTTCTTGTGAATACTATTCATTTCTATTCATCAAATCATTTGATTGGACTAATGTTGGATTAGTCACCAAAGATATTTATAAATTACTTTATGCCATGATTAGTTATTCATCTTTTAACATGCTAAAATAATAAATAGAATCTCTCATAACTTTATATATATATATATATATATATATATATATATATATATATATATACACGCGTAGTAATCATATAGGTTTCTAAATAGCAGAGTTAAAAACAATACTAATTTTATACTTTGAATAATTTACCCTATTAGTTATCAAAATTGATATATAATAGTATTAAAAATGGAATATACGCATAAATTATGTGTATGTGGGCTACCAAACGGCTCCTTAGTTTTCCTTTTAGCTCTCGTATTCTTTTAAACTGAAATCAGGAGAGCTTTAATACGGGTGTCAAAAGTGAACTCAAACATAGCAATTCGTCCTGAATTTTAAGGGTTAGGCTCAATATAATTTGAATTGGGTTTATTCTTAACTCATTCGAGCTTGATCCGTTTAAAGAGAATTCTCAATTAAGCCCAATTCAATCTCTAATTTCAATCCGTTTTAATTTTTTTTATTAAAATATGTTTCTATATTGAAGGTATGAATTACTATTTATTTAGCATCTTTTGGGATTTATTTATCAATTTGTTACTTTTTAACAAAAATATTCATAAGCGGAAATTCAAATTGTGATTATAAAAAGTTAAATATCAATATGTTAAATTATTGAGATTAATCGGGTTAAACTGAACAGGTCAAGACCCAACCCATTTTTAGCCCATTCGAGCCCAAAATAAATTTGGATAGGTCAAGACCCAATCCGATTTATATTAAACCCATTTTAATATTTTCAATTTCAAACCTACTCCGCCCATTTGACACCCTAAGCTTTAATATTGTCATACTCTTCATTATCCTAAGCTGGAAATATTTTATTTGACCAAACGAGATATTAGTCGGAATGTATACAAATAGAGGTAAGAGATGTTAGTTTCTTTTTTCTTTCTTACATCATTAATATAGCATTTTTTCAATCTAGAGAGTCCCCACTCCCCCTATAATTTAATTATAGGTGTTCAAATATTAATTTGGAAACGTGTTTGATAATAAATTTGAAAAGTATCTCACATGAATTATTATATTTATAAGCTCTAAAATTTAAAAGTATTCAATTGTATTAATTATATATTTGTAAACTATAAAAGTAATCCATTGTAGTGATCAAACATATTTGTTAATCCCCTTCACATCTAGACCCGGACATTCTCTATTTGAAGTTTTACTGCCTACCACAATTTGTCAAATTACAGCTAGTTACGAATATCTATCGATACAAAAAAATATTAAAAAAAAGTAACAGTGGTAATTATCCATTGTTAAATATTATTTTTTCCACATAGATACAAACTCTGGGCAAGTTTTGAATTGGGTCAAATATCAATATATACCGGCAACAAAGAAAGAAATTCAGCAAAATGGTAAATATCATATGTATCTGTAATGTATTAATATTGAATAAATTGTATATACTGTGTTTATATGATGTATATTTATGTATTAAAGACATATATACACACATATACATGATCTATACAATATTTATATATACATCCGTTCATTTTTCTCAATCGACAATTATATAATTTTAAATTTTGTGTTCAATCAAACATCGTCACATGTCAAAAATAGAGGAGCAAAGGAGTAATATTCCATAATAATGAAATATTATAATCAAAATAATTAGAAAATGGATCTGTAAATATTACAATCAAAAGAAGAAAGGGAAGAAGGAGAAATCAACGAGATGGGCCGAATGCACTTCGGCAGAATTAATTCGTTCTCCTGGCAATCAAGGCCCAGCCCATTATTAACAATTTTGAATTTGATAATGGACATATAAATGGGGGAAGTGTGCAAATTTCGCTTTTGAAATCGTTATTTAATTTTTTGTTCGCGGTGTAATTTTTTTATCTCTTTTGATAACAACTTCAAACATATGCGATTAATATTTTAGACATGTTTGTCTGAAATATAGCTTTTGTGAACGCCAAATATTAAACATTCCTGCCTGAAGTTCGGTATGACTTACTAATATCAACTTCAGATATTATTTATTGAATTTAGAGACTTCACAAGACTAAACTATGAAATCTTTTACTAAAGTTTTATTTGATTAACCAAAACTTAAACTTTAAACATTTTTTACTGAAATGATAACCTTAACAAAAATCAAATATCAATTTTTTCTCTCTAAATTATCCAACTTTTTCATTACTCATCCCATCCACAATCAGCTTTAATCTAAAAAAAAAGAAGTACAGCCTAGACTGATTATAAACTTTTGATGGATTTTATTTTCTCCGTTCACTTTTATTTTTTAACTAGTTTTGATATTGCATATCCTTTTAAAAACTGATTAATATAAGTATTTTATCATAACATTCATATTAATTAATATAAATCTTAGATTTTGAAAAACAACTACTTGATAATAAAATTATATTTTTAATATGATGAATAAATAGAAGTGAAGGGAGGAGGAGACAAGATGGTATTTGAGAAAGGTGGAAATATAGCTACCGACGAGACATCGTTAATAAATGGGGAAATATATTATTGAGACAAAATTGAGGAAGACATAGAGACAATTTTAAGTTGAATGTGAAGTTCCTATTGCCTCTGGACAATGCTTCTTTTCATCACATGTTACTATCTTTCTTCCATTGTCCTTTTCTTTTCCTAATTCGGTGTCTGAACTTCACATTGAAGCTTCAATTAAATTTGAATCGTATATTGCAGGGTCTTTTTGAGGTTGAAGCTTCTAATTACAAGATTTTCCCTCATACGGCTCAAAATCGAGACCTTTAATAAAAGGTGAAGCACTACCACTAATTAGGGGTGTGCATCAGTCGGTTCGGTTCGATTTTATGTATTATCCGTTTGATTTATCGATTTTTAAATAAGTTAACCCGATAACAAACCAATAAGATATTATTTATTGATTTTCACTTTGTCGGTTTTTGATAGTTATCGGTTTACCCAATAAGAAAATATCCGTAAAATATTATATAACTTCTTACTTAGCTAAATATAGTACGAAGGTTATAATTACATGTCACCGCCAAAACATAGTACAGACCTTCACAAACTTGCAAATGCTACAACCTACAATTACAAACTAAAAAAATCAACTAGTCCAACAAGATTAAACTAAAACTAAAACGAAAATCAAAAGCTACAACTGCGAAACCTTACATTAATTTTTAGGTTTTTAGTAAACAATAAAAACTAGTAAAGCAGCCTAGTGTGAAGTAGATAGAGTATTAATAATTTGATATAGTTATAGTGTCTAGTTATATATTAAATTATTAGGAAGGGTAAAATAGTAAATTATTACTATCTTATTGGGTTATCGGTTTACCCAATAACCCAATAGTAAAATTCGATATCGAACCAATAACCCAATAACTTCCTTTTATAAACCCATTAAAAACTCAATAATCCAATCACCCAATAACAACAATCCAATAATATTTTTTTCGATTCATTTTATTGATCAATTTGATTTTATCACAACCCTACCACTAATACTTTACTCATGCCGATTTTAATTATCCTTTAATATACTTTGACATCCTAATTAAGAATAAAAAGTCTATAACTAGCAAAATACATGAGAGGAGAGATGTTAATTTGCATACGAGTATACATTTTAACATTGTGTGTGTTTATGAGTTTAAAGCAAACAATATTATTAGCAGATTGAGCCGTCACAAAGTAAATTTGAGTTATTATGCTTTTTTGTTTACGTTGTGCTATTTACTCTTAAGAGAAGATATAAATTCATTCATTGGTCCTGCATGTTTGCCATTGACTGATCAATAAGCTTCCACGTAAAAGAGCGTATTCCCACAAAGTTTTATCTATAAGAAAGAATAACTTATATTACAAATGATTATTAATAAAAAAAATACATCATTAGCCAAAAGAAATTTATCTTTAACACAAGTGTTATCCTAAGAATTAAAGAACAAATAATAAAACTATACTTTTTACTCCATATGCTTATTACTTCCTCCGTTTCAAAAAGATTGACTTAGTTTGACATCAGAAGAAGTTTAGAAAAAGAAAGAAGACTTTTTAATCCTGTGGTTTTAATTTAAAATTATGTTAAATGTATCAAAAAACTCTTTAATTTTGTAGTCTTAAACATGTCATGTAGAAAATTAAAGTTAAAGTGTTGCAAAAAAATGAAAGGAGTCATTCTTTTATAAAAAGACTAAAAAGGAAATAGAATCATTCTTTTTTTGGGATAATTTAGTAAATTATCCATTGCATTTTTATTTATTAACGGATACAATTTTTACTAAGATAATGCTTATTTTGTAACGAAAAAAGTAATTACAAATTCTTGATATTGAATTGTCACAGAGACCAACTATGAATATTAATATTTATCTACATATTCACCCTTGTACGTGTTAGACATCAACATTATAAACATTTTGCCTAATATTATAAAAATTGGGTATCAAGTATCATAGAGAAATTGTCTATGCAATTTTTTTTTATTATTATTAATTAGTTAATCGGACTATAATATAAATATCAAATATGGCTTGGAAATTTCTTTTAGTTAGCCTAACAAGTTAAGCTTGAGGTTCTATAGCACGTCTTAACATCATTGAAATTAATGTGGATTTGGCAAAATCTAGGATATAATGCAAAGTAATAGATACCACATTGGATATATACCAGTTTTTAATAGTAATTATTCCCCCCGAAAAAGTTATTTCTTAAAATTGAAAATAATTTAATTTGAAAAGTTTCTTTTTATCCTTATCAAATGATTTATACTTATATAAATAGTCAAAAAGTGATTTAAAATATAATTTTTTTTAAGAGTGAAAAGTAAAAAACACACTTAATATATCTAAATTTTTTTTAAAGTTTCATGTCTGAGCTATTACTGTCATCAAGTGAAACATACATAAAACATCTGATAGTCCGTGTGTACTGTATTTTCTTTGTTGGTCTAGTCCGTGTTGAGTGTGTTTGTGTTTCGCTAAACAATCAGTGATCATTTGAATAGAAAACTCATACTCTTAATGGTGTAAATATAAAATTAAATACTTTAAGTATATATTTTTTTACCGAACACTCTTTTGAAAAAAATTATATCAAGTTAAATTATTCCTTGTGAATTGATAATTGAGACAGATAGAAGTAGTTATTCGTTTTATTATGTGTCTTTTGAAACTAAGGATATGCTGCTATTATTATTATTATTATTATTTGTTTATATATAAATACGATGAACATTAGTATATTGTTATTATAATTAGGTTGCTCTTGGAGTAGGCATTTACAAATGAAAACTTTGAAGGGAGTCAACTGTAATTTGTACGCCCTCAGTCTTAATTTATGTAACATTTTTTATTTTTTTTTATGTCAAACAGTTTAAGTTTGATCGATAATTTTGTATAAAATTTTTAAATTTTTTTAAAATAAAATTTATATATTTATAAATTACGTAAAATATATTATTAATCACAATAATTAATAATTTAAAATATTTTAAAAATCTATGAAAAACTTACAATAAAAAATAAACTTATTTAAATCTTAAAATCTAAAAAATGACACGTAAAGAGAAGGTAAAATTTATTTTGGAGAAGGATAGATAAGAGTAAAATAAATTGTTGTCTTAATCATCAATTAATCCTTAATAAGTGACCTGTCTCCTCAAAAGGACAATGTTGGGGCCCTGAGGATTATGATTAATAAAGGGCCGCACGTTAGAGGGACCAAACAATTCAAATAAGGCTTATGCTAATTTTATTCTTGTTTACTTCTCCTTTCATAGTAATTAGTACGACGAGCAAGGCCTAATTTATTGTCTAAATTAATCGGCACGTGAAATCGATTTTTTCTTAAATTAGATATTTTATAAATATATTTTGTATAATTAGTATAACATTATATGTTTGTCATTTTATAAGAACACTAAATGGTAGTATAGATTATAGGGATCAATTTTCACTAAATACATCTTCTTCTTTTTAATACTTCATCCGTACATTTTACTTGTCATCTAATTTTGTAAAATAAATTTTCATTTTCATTTGTCATTTTTAACATATTTAGTAGATAATTTTTCTCTTCATATTTTACCATAAACATTAATATTTATACGATAATATATTTTCCAAGGCTTAAGGTGTGTTTGGTATGGCGGAAAATGTTTTCCGTGAAAACAAGTCGATTTTGAATTTATTTTCTTATATTTGGTTGGTGAGTAGAAAATATTTTCCGTAAATGATTTTTAATGTTTGATTTATGAATGAAAAATATTTTTAAGAGACATTTTTTATTTTTACTAGAGTGAAAAATAATTAATGAAATTAAAAATATTTTTTAAAAACAGAATTATTATTTTTTTGGGTGGTGGTGGTGGGGTAATGGGTGGGAGGAGGGGGTTGAAGTGAAAAACCAAAAATTTGAAGTTAATAGTATTTTTTTAAAACAAAATTAATGTTTTTGGGGGGGCTGGGGGTGGGTGGGAGGCAGGTAGGGAGGGTAGAGGGATGACCGGGTAGGAGTTTAAAAATAAAAATTTGAAGGTGAAAATATTTTTAAAAAGCAAAAATTAGGGATCGGGTGAAAAAATAAAATTTAAAAATTGAAAATATTTTTTTAAAATTGATATTTTTTCCAAAAAAAAATGTAATTTGAAATTGGAGTAGAGTTTTGAAAAATGTTTTCCTTAATTTTTGAGGGGAAGTCGTTTTCCTTAATTTTGAGAAAAATGAATTGATTTAGAAAAACATTGTCCCAACCAAACGTGAAAAAATTGAAAAATATTTTCCATAAAATGTTTTCCTTCATTCCAAACACACTCTTAATGATAACATCATTTAATATGGTTAGCTTTATCAATAATTTATTTATCAATGAGTGTGTTAAGTCAAACAGTGACAAGTAAAACAGTGACAAGTAATCATAAACAGAAACAATAACATATTCATATTTTTAAAAAAATAAATTCGCTAACTTGAGAAACATCTATTGTCAATTATATTGTCGGTAATGACTTATCACTAATAATTTTGCACAAATTAAAGTTATTTTTTAATTCACTTTAAAGTTTGAGTAACTACCAACTAACTTTTTCAATTGTGATTCATCAAAGATTAATGACCAACCACAACAAAATGATCTAAAAGAATAGATGAAAGCATTATTTCAATAATTCAACTCACATTTATGATAATTTTTAATTATTCTAAGGTGCAAGTTTGTTGGGTAATTTATAACTTAAAAATTTAATTTTATGAGTTTTATTATTGAATTAATTAAAGGCAGCTTCCTAGACTACAAATGCAAGGTCTAGACCAAATTTACGAGGCTCTATTGGATTCATAAGTAAAATTATAGCATTACCCTTTACAATGATCAGTCAACTTTTATTTTATTACGTCAAAGTTCATAAATTATTTTTTATAATTAACAAAAAAATCACTTAAGTTTGTCTTAATATCATAGAGTGTCACTAAATATGAATTATATTGTTAATTGTTGTAGACTAGTGACGATGAGCACATCCTGCGTTGCATTTCTTCATAACAAAATGAAGAACTTTTCTTCAATTAAATCCAATAGATTATTAAATGAGATTAGGGTAGGAGACGATATAATTAGTATTATTATATAATAATAACAAATAAAGTATATTATATTCCCTGTAAAACGTGGGGAAGGGGTGTCAAAACTGCTTCGCCACTCACTCTTCATTACAAATAAAATAAAATAAAAAATAGACTTATGTTGTTATCTACTAGTTATATATATATATATACTATATGTTTTCTTTCTTAAATAACAATATGAATTGACGTTGGTTGAATTAGATTCTTAATCTTAATTAATTAAAGTTCTTGATATTTTCAGTTAACCACCACATATATAGCATCTAATAGTTGCACCCTATGTTTCAAATTAATAAGGGTTTCAGGTTCAAATACCAGAAATAAAAATTTAATTTGATTTTTCGTGGAGATATTAGTTTGAAAAGATAATCTTTAAATATATTTAATTTGCATTAAGATTTAAAAATGATCATTATCGACGAATGTCTATCAATAAATAACACTTACCTCATAATACATGCAATGGAATTCAATAGTGTATAGGTTCCCTTTGGACATAAATATTATTTCAAATACTTGTCTGATTTTACGAATATTTACAAATTGCAACAAAAAAAAAAAGAGGTTATTTTGTATATGCAAATACTAAATCTTAATTTTTTGAACTTCCAAGTAAAATACTTAATTTAAAGTGAATTATGTCCACAAACAGATCGTTCCAATTTTATTTTTTTTTCCAAATGAAAATTCACGTTTAAACATAACTTATTTATTATGTCCAAAAGCAAATGTTGTCCAAATAGTTGCAGAAATACATAGAAATTACAGAAAACGATAAACCAAAACACCTTTTCAATATTATGGTAAAAAGGTCGACAAGATAATTAGGAGTTGTTTGGTTACCGGGATTTGATATAATATATATTTGCTCCTAATTACGATGTAAAATATTAATATTACATTTATTATATATATATTTTATTTATTTATTTCAATTTGCATCTTATTTTAACTTGACAATGATTTTAAATGTCGTAATTCAAATTAAAGATATATCCAAAAAAAATCATTTAATCTTATAATCTTCATAAGTCTTCTGAAAAATTAAAACTATTTTTTAAATAGATTAAAAAAGATCTAAATTTAGATTGGGCACTATAAGATATTTCACTCTGAATAAAATTTACTTGAATTCAAAATTTCTAATCAAGAATGAAACGATACGATGAGTCACGTTAGTTACACCAAAATCTTAATATTATATGTGGGGTCGGAAAGCCCTAATTAAGACCGGAAAATAATTTGGGCAACACATAATGCCTAACATGTCTTTCATTCATACAATTGTCAGGTGTTTTAGTGGATTTAGGAGCCAATTTCGGAGACAAAGAATACCCTGCTGTTCACCCTTTAGTTGACAAGTTGAAAATTCATATCCAATCACAAATATACAAAATTTATTATTATTATTATTATTATTAATATTATTATTTTAAAAGTAAAAGAACAAAGAGAGAGATTAATTTTCTTTTTTCCTTTCTTCTTTTTTTAATTTAAACATATAAAAAAGAAAAAAGAGCTTTAACTAAATAAAAAACCAGTCATTGATTTGTTCAGCTCTTTTGCTATTCCATCAACCTAACAACTTCTGTTTCAAAGTATTCCTAATACACCAAATTCCTGAAAAGCTGAAAAAAGGAACAAAAAGATAAATCCAGTTCAGCAAATCAATCTAAGAAACATAGAGAAAAAATTGTTCATTTTTTTTTCTAATGTTAATTTGCAAAGCCAGCTTTTTTTTATTTTTTCCAATACAATAGCTAGCTTCTCCATCAATTTGGTATATTTAAAAAACCAAAGAAAATCCAGAGTTTTTTCAAGAAATGAGCCCAAAACATGATATAACAATAAAGATTGGATTTTTTTTGTGTTTTTTGATCTTGGGTAGTTATAGAAATGATTGTTGATGTTCATGTGAAGCTCACATTGGTGATTCAAATGAAGATTGATTTGGGTTAAAGGAGGAAGGAAAAGGGGTTATTGGTGGAATTTAAAAGGGAACGGAGAAATTTTTAAAAGGGATTATTGTTGAGAGATGAGCAAAGAACTTAGTGGCATTTTGAAGGCCTGTAGGGATTTCACAGTAAAGAAAGCAACTGCAAAGAAAAGAGCCAAAAACATCATTTTTACAACAATGTCAGTGGCACATGTTGATGATGACCTTGATGCCCCTGGTGAGGTTTATTATGCAGAGAAAATATTGAACAATGGGGATATTTATACGGGGAAATGGAGCGATAACTGCCCCAATGGACAGGGGAAGTATTTGTGGTCAGATGGTTGTATGTATGTTGGTGATTGGGTTAAAGGGAAGACAATGGGGAAGGGAAAGTTCAGTTGGCCTTCTGGTGCAACCTATGAAGGCAAGTTCAAGAACGGTTATATGGATGGTGAAGGGACTTATACAGGGTGCTCGAATGATACGTATAGAGGTTCTTGGGTGATCAATATGAAACATGGTAAAGGAACAAGGGATTATGTGAATGGAGATCATTATGAAGGAGAATGGCGTCGTGGGCAGCCAGATGGACAAGGGAGATATCAATGGATCAATGGGAATCAATATATTGGACAATGGAGAAATGGGAAAATGAATGGTAATGGTACAATGATTTGGGCTAGTGGGAATAGGTATGATGGTTCTTGGGAAGATGGATTTCCTAAAGGGAATGGCACGTATCGATGGGCAGATGGGAGTTTTTATGTTGGTATTTGGAGTAAGGATTCTAGGGAGCAGAGTGGGACTTATTATCCTTCAGGTTCACAAACAGGTACTTTCGATTGGGATCCTCAGGATGTGTATTCAAATGATCTACTAGGATGTCAGATTAGTCCAGGTGAAAGAATATCAGCTTACCCTTCACAAAAAATGGTTACTTGGCCATGTGAAGGGGAATTTCTGCAGAAGTTGCCAATAGCCAAGTCTCCAAAAGCAAATAATGCAGGACCTAAGCGAAATTCTGTGGATGGGAGGTTGAGCAATGGAGATGGCTACGGCTGGGGTTCAGAAACTGATGCAGCTTCAAATAGTGTATTATCAGAACAACCAAGAGAGTCAAGTGAAGAAACCAGAAGCATTCGAACTGACGATTCAGATAATTCAAGAGGATTTCAACCACATTGCATCAAAATTCAACCCAACAAGAAGCCAGGAACAACAATATCAAAAGGGCATAAAAACTATGAGCTCATGCTTAATTTGCAGCTGGGAATAAGGTACTCATTTGAATTGAATAAAACTGTTTTTTTCTTGTCTAAAGCTGTTGGTTTTATTGCTAACCACTGTTGTTCTTGTGGCTCTTAATCCTATCTTCATTGTATTTGGGAAAATAAATAAGGAATAAAAGATCAAGTTGGTCTATTGATGGTTTTGGAACGTTACACACGAATCCCTTTTTGGGATCTTTACCTAATAATATTTATTTTTGGTAGCAAGGATTCTTTACTGGATGCACAAATATAAGTTTCGAGTATCTAAATCTAAGGAGGACAACTTGCATTTTCCATAGCAGTGCTTTTAGATCTTTATAGCCTTATTCAATATCTTGCTGCTTGTAGCTAATTAATTTATGGTGCCATCTCAGACATTCTGTAGGAAGGCCTGCTCCAGCTACATCACTTGATCTAAGAGCTACAGCTTTTGACACTAAAGAAAAGGTATGGACAAAGTTCCCAACAGAAGGATCCAAGCATACTCCTCCACACCAGTCGTGTGAGTTCAAATGGAAGGATTACTGCCCGTTAGTTTTCAGGTTGAGTTGATACACTAAATGGACTATTTTTGAATTCTCCATTAACATATCTTATAATTCAAATGCATAACTGAAGCGAAGTTTGAGTACTGCTCAGCTTAATGTGTTGTTGCAGGTACATTGTGCAATCATTGCAGTTCCATTGTATTGCATTGCACATGCACCGTCAATTGACTCATCCGAATAGCTTTGAGAATATTTCAACATTATAACATCACTTGAACTTAGTCTGAAAATATAACTATGTTTTCAGGACCCTTAGAAAACTGTTTAAAGTGGATCCAGCTGATTACATGATATCTATATGTGGAAATGATGCACTTCGAGAGCTCTCATCCCCGGGAAAAAGTGGAAGCTTTTTTTACTTGACCAACGATGACAAGTACATGATCAAGACCTTAAAGAAGGCAGAAGTAAAAGTAAGTGATATTTCTGCTTGTCGATTGTTAGAATGAAAATCTTTGCAGTCTGCTCAGCATCATTGATAAGCCTCTGTACTGATGCCTAGTTCTTTAGTAATCAAAGTTCATTTCAGTATCTTTGTGAATTTTCTAATCAATCTAGCCAATAATCTCTTGCAAAGCATCGTGGAATCATATCTCACATATTTTCTCTGTTTACTTAAAAACATTTCTATGAGTTAATGGGGGCTTCATTCACACAACTGCAGGTTCTTTTAGGAATGCTTCCAGCTTACTACAATCACGTTCGAGCATTTGAGAACACTCTAGTTACTAAATTTTTTGGTCTTCATTGTGTGAAATTGACTGGACCTGCCCAGAAGAAGGTATATGAGACAACTAGAACTATGTATTTTGACGAGTTCATACTTTTGTTGCATCAAGTTTGTCGGTCTTTTTCTTATTAATCGAGTTTGTCCTTGATAACAACTGATGAGCAGGTTCGCTTTGTCATAATGGGGAACTTGTTCTGTACTCAGTATGCCATTCACAGACGTTTTGACTTGAAAGGTTCTTCCCATGGCCGTGTTACTGAGAAATCTGAATCTCAAATTGACTCCACTACTACTCTCAAGGACTTGGATCTCAATTTTATATTCAGGCTGCAGAAAGTTTGGTTCCAAGAGTTCTGCAGGTGGCTCTTTCTTCGCTTTCTCTGTACTTTAAAAGCATGATTTTTTCTGCAATGGTGACAGACATACCATAAATCTTCCCAATAGAGCTTTATTCTTGATGTTCCTTCATAGACATGTAATCATTGTAGCTTAGCACTCCGAATTTTATCTCCAGTTTTGCTCCTTTTACAAAGTATGCTGAACATTCTATTCCACAGGCAAGTGGACCGCGACTGTGACTTCCTTGAACAGGAGAGAATCATGGACTACAGTCTTTTGGTGGGAGTTCACTTCCGAGAAGTTTCAGGTTCTGGTGAACCAGTCACAACTGAGACGTGTAATTCTGGAGTTCGGACTCCTACTGGTATACATGTCTTTCCACACTCGTTTCATGATAAAGGAAGAAGGATTTTCATTTCTTCTTTTGTTTCAGCTAATGCAGACCAGAATGGTGATGTATCAACTCCTCGAATTTCCAGGGCTGACATGGATCTTCTTTTTGATCCTTCAGGGTAAACTGCACTCATGAGGATATCATTTGTCAATTTTCTCTGCTAACTTGAATGGATTTTGACTGGACAACCTATTTTTCTCCCTTGGGTTTTGGCAGGTGGGCTTCCATTAGATTGGGTATCAACATGCCAGCAAAGGCTGAATTAACAGTAAGAAGAAGTGATTTCGAGGCACAGCTAGTGGGAGAGCCTACAGGGCAGTATTATGATGTCATCATATTCTTTAGTATAATCGATATCCTACAGAATTATGACATAAGCAAGAAGCTGGAACATGCATATAAAGCATTTCAATATGATCCAACCTCAATCTCGGCAGTTGATCCCAAGCAGTATTCAAAACGTTTTCGGGACTTCATATTACAAGTTTTTGCAGAAGACACCTGAGATTTCAGAAAAGCTAGTAGACCTTCCACGGTATTCCTTGAGGTAACCATGCTAACCCACACAACAGTGATGAGAACTATATGGTCATGAAAGCTCGGACACTTGCTCCTGGAACGAGGGGTTCTGGCTATGTGCCCCATCAAGACAAGCAGCCATGGCAAAAGAAGGGCACTGAACATGCTTTTTCCTTTTATGTTTCTATATAGTTACATGCATATAATCCATAACTCAGAAAGGCATAGATTAGTTTTGTGAGTAAATGTCCAGCCATGTAATTTTTAAGCCTGCCTGACCCAATTGTACATGAAAATAGAAGGGTGAAGCTGAGGTAGGGTGGATTTTTCTTGCAAACCAATTTTTTGATCTAGAGTGACGAGTCTCTGGAAATCTACTTATGGAATAAACATGTATAGCGCGTCAAAGGGGAAAAAGAGGAAATTGGAAGTCTTTATTTTGGCAAAATGTTATACTTCTATACAATAGTTGTAACAAGTCTAACCACCCACTCTTCATCTACCAGGTCAGGCTAGCATACTTGTGTGTGAGCCTGCTCGTTTAACAAATTTCTCTAGGAAAACACGAGAACATTTGTTCCCAAGTCAAAGGAGGAGACCCTGCTGGTCTGATCCGATATAAGCTCTCTGCCACTGTCTGGCTGACCCAAACATCTGAAAGGCAATATAGTCAAACTCCATGTGACTCTACTTGAGTAATAGAGGACGACAATTTTGGATAACATTATATAGCAAGTTAGGTACGAGCCTTTTAACACTTTCTTGATTGCCATTGTAAGATGAAGATAAAAAGAACACTCTCTTTATCTCGAGGACACATAAAGATTACTAATTCAAGGGAAAGGTCCTTGTCGTTAACTATATAGGGATGCACATATGAATCTTATTTTAAGCGCTCATACTTCTAGTTTGGGTAATGCTCTCCTACAGGGCAGCAAAAGTATCATAAGAGTAAGAGAAATCCACTGTATTAGTATGACCAACTCGATTTACTTGGATGTCAATAAAAAATGAATATAACAGATGATCTGTTGCAAGATTTTGAATGGAAAATGTTAGCAAGCCTTAACTGAGGAGAAATTGACCGACTTCCAAGTTTGAAATTGTCTTATTTTGGTTTGTAGAAATACTGATTCTATGAACATGTGTGCACGCCATATAGCTATGAATCAGTAGTGGGAGAGTGGGTTGCATTGAACTCTCGTACTATTAAATAAAAAAGTTGACTAAACCTTGTCAAGAAGAAATTTTCTTAAAATCAAAACATGACTACAAAGTTAGCAAGCCTTGAAGTGGAGGACGGACCACTAAAGGTTGTAGTGGGGGTATAGACTATAGAGGCCTTGATTTCAAAGCCTAAAAACAAAAGGGAGTGTTTTATCTCCAAGTTTTGAAGGAAAAAAAAATCAACAAAAATAAGTACATTAGAGGAAAGTTTGTTCAATTATATTATAAAATCTGTAAATCAAATAAAAATCAGATACGAAACTCATATCCTGTTGTGAATTCTCTACTCTTTATAATAATTGAATATTGTAAATTATAGTGATGTGATGCAAAGTTTGACTGATTGCAAGTCTTAATTGCTTACATGTGCTCCAGTTAATAGAACTGCCGACAAGCTCAATCTCTCAAGAAATTGGAACAGACATTTGCTTGTTTCTCGATTCCTAAAATTCTGACAGCTATATAATATATAAATCCCTAAAAGTTACCACACAAAAAGAAAGAAAATAAAAGAGGCTAACAGATCAGTTAGAATTACGTATACTCCATTTATTCGCAGAAGTCGATACAAATTAAAGAAGAGCTAAGTTTCTGCTTGATTTTTTCGTCATTACAGACATATTATGCCACGAAGCATTTTATTATTCCATCAGTTAATTGGAATCGTTAATCATAATTTTATTAGTTACAGGACTATAGCATCCTCCTATACACATGACACTGAATTTTGTGTTACATTTAACCTATTCTTTGATACATTAGTTACAGTATCCTACAAAGGATTTGTCCATTTTTAGACACTTTGGAGGCGTAGATTCCACAAGTGAATACTTAAAATACACCCGAACCTGCTTATCATGAAGTGTTACCAGGGCTCAGAGTTGTTGCGCAGGAAACTTTTGTTATCTGTGGGGGGAGACCAACCTTCCTCCATCAAGATAAGGTTAAGGCGAATCATTAATTTCTCCAGAGCTTCTTCTTCCTCCACATTATCAATCAAATCAAGTGATTCCTTCTGCATTATGCAATTTTCCAAAGTTAGTCAATGATAAAAATGAAGACGAAACAGTCACCTGAGCAGAGGAAAACTACCTGACCATCCTGGTATACTGTGAGGTAATGGAGTGATTCCTTATAAAATCCACAATGGTAGAGTAGAGCGCCATAATCCCTCAACTCCTTTGGTTCAGTTTGCAAGAGGATAAGACGTTCACATGCTGACAAGTGAATAATGATCATAACAGGCAAAGATAGACCAGACTAATTGTGAAGTTCTGACAACAAGACAACTTACTAATAAAAAGGCTCTGGATATATCACAAGAAAACATGTAAACACTCAACTAAATTTGATATAAGCCATACTGGGTAACATTTTTATCACTTTGAAGGAGTAATCTAAACATCAACCAGTTTTTTAGGTTAGTTAGGAGAAACATATCAACCATCAAAAAAAGATTGAATTTACTTATGGTCAAGCTCACCATAATTTCTTATCAGCGGAAATATTAAAATGGAAGTGAAACATGAAGAAGTAATCATCTTCCAGCTTATTTTTGGATTATATGAGCAGCCTTAGATACACTGTCAATGGCTGTCCTAATACCCCCTCCTACCACCCTGTTTAGAAGAAACAAGATACTAAAAGAAGACGAGTGATTGTCTTTTCCATGCAGGGAAAGTTCATCTGTATTTCTCCTCGAAAACCTTTGATCTTTCTTATCTAACATTGTCATTGAATATAATAGGTCGAGTGGGATCAAAATGAATCTACTTACTTCATCAAAAAAAAAAAAAGGTCGGGTGGGATTGAAATACAAATGAGCTGAATTCCCTAAAGGAGTATTACTCATTTAACAGAACCAAAGTTTCTTGCTTTTTCAGTTAGTTTTTAAACAAGAACCAGGTATGCATCCTTTTAGATCAGTATAAGTCCAAAATAATCACCGTCGCAGATTAGGATGAAGCCTGCTCCACTGGAGTCATGAAGAAGAAATTTGACAGCAGGCATCCAACTTAAGTATACCTTCAACTATGCAATGTGGAATTTGACAGATGATCATGCACCGTGAAGGGAGGTGAAAGCGGAAAAATATGGAATCATGGAAAAGGCAGGAGGAGTGATCCTGACAGCTGAAAACTTGAGCAAAATTGGTATTAGTTATGTTAGTTGTTGTTTTATGTGCAAAAATTCAGCAAAGACGTGAACAACCTCCTTCTGTCTTGCTGACTAGCTATGTGCTTCTGGTGTGAGGAAGGTCGTGAGATGGTTCAGAACACAATGAACAATGTTATGTACTGATCTTTCTTTTTTCAGATTCATTTACCTTTATGGCATGCAAACTCTTCTTCTACTTCCGGAAGGGGTTCAAAACCTTAGACCCCTTTCCCTTTGGCTTATTTACATGGAACACTAAAGTTCCTCGAAGAAGGTTTTCACATCCTCCTCAATTTCTGAGAACTAAGTAACTCATCGCAATGACTTCAGACTTGCAGGTTCAAATATAAAAGAATGGTTCTCTCAGCTATTGTTTGCAAGTGCAGTGATATTAACGAAAGTTGTGTGCATATCCTTTGCATTGATCATGTACTTAGGACCGCAGAAGAGATTGTTTGGAGTATCATATGAAGCGATTGTATGCATCCTTGTTAAACTAATGTGCTTCTCAGAAGTCACTTGAAAAGGCTGATGATATGCTCATACCACCGCCAACAAAAGGGTGGAAATACAAGAATACATGTCAAACCGGAGGCCAGGACAAACCCTTGTAACAGAGTGAAGGATCAAGGAAGAGAAATGCAGGTATATTTTACAACATCATGCTCTTTTGGCTATAACGTGGTTTGTTTAGTTCAAAGGAAATGCACGAATACTTCAACAAAAATGTTCGCTTCAGTTGGCATGGCATGTGTTCCTAGAACAATGTTATTTTGGAGTGACATACTGGTAGAGTTGCAACACATTTGGAAAGCTTTGGTATTAGGTTATCTAGTTTAATTTGCTGGTACTTTCTGTTTGCTTCAAGTGCAGCCTACTCTCCAAACAACACATTTTAAGAAATAACAAAGATTAGCATACCTTCTCTTGATATTGTGCAGCCAAATATGGCACATAAAGTACACCTGAACCTACTCCTAACTACTGTATCCTTATTGTCATCACATGGAAATCAATACTGCAACCAAAAACTAAAAAATTCCAATAGTAACTATTTACAGAACATACTAAGCTGCCTTATTTTTAGCAATAAACATGTTCTTGAAAAACTCACCCCTTGTATCTACAGAATCCAAACAATCACTTCAATAGAAATTTACAAAGATAATATGAACAGCTAGATTTATTGAAGTGTCATCCAAGGGTGTGTTTGGTATGGAGGAACCATTTTAAATTTTCACATGTTCAGTTGGCCAAAAAAATTTTGGCAACAATTTCTCTAGGAAAAATAATTCCTTAAAAATGAGGAAAATGACTTCCCTAATGGAAGTAGGTAAAACAAGTCCTAAAAGTGGCATTCCAATTGATTGTATCCTCCTCACCCTCTAACACACCGCATCTTCAACTCCAGCCTCACCATTCCACACCCCCACCTCCCATAGTGTTTATCTAGATTATACACAATTTTTCTTAGGATAACATTTTTTGCTTACATACCGAACACAAGAAAATAAGTAAGAAACCGATTTATTTTCCTAGAAAACACTTCACATGGAAAACATTTTCCTTCGTACCAAACACACCCCAAATGTACAACTATTACTTATCAAACTACTTCTTCATGGGAAAGAGGGAAAAACTTGAATGCACATACCAGAGAGTGCACGTCTCATATCCCCAAAACGAACACTGGTCCAAACACCACGCTCTAGCCGATGCAGAGCAGCCTTGACAGATGCAAGCTCGAATGCACTGCATGGAGAATGATATAAGAAGGATGGGTTGCAAAATAAGAAATGATATAAAAAGATGGGATAACAAGTGTAGTCTTATAGTATAAGAAGGGAATTTAGGGATGGATTTTGCAACCGCTGAAACACCTTTCATCGGAATCATTGGTACTTTCTGAACAGTTGGCAGCTCGTGCTGCTCTCAGGAAAGGACTCTTAGTATGATCAAGCTGAAATGGCCAGAAAGCATCCTTCAAATCTTTCAGCATCTGTATAAGGACGTGGAGCAACTATAAGACAGTGTTTTGGGAAGCGAGAAGCGGAAAAAAGCGAC